ACCAGGCCTCCTTAGTCTTTCGCCCCTGCTCCGCATTCACCTCTCGTCCTCATCCTCTTGTTTCCTCTTCGCCCGCTCCCGCCGCTGCTCCTCCTCCAACCTTGCCCCCCGCCCCTACTCCTGTTACTGCTCAGAGCTCAGAGCTGTGGACACCTGGTCCCTGTCACAGGTGCCCCTCGCGCGCCCCTCTCCTCTTCGTCCTCTCCCGATCAGCGCGGATGCTTGGTGAGGGGCGGGGGGGAAGCGCGCGTGTAAACGCGGGTCGTTTGCGTCCTGCTCCTGCTCCTACTCCTGTACCTGCTCCTCCTCCACCTTCTCATCCTCCTCCTTTTCTTCTTTTTCGTATTATGATTCTTCTTATTTTTCTTCTTCTTCTTCTTCTTCTTCTTCTTCTTTTTTCCCCTCCTCCTCCTCCTCCTCCTCCTCCTCCTCCTCCTCCTCCCCTTCTTCCTCTTCATCTTCATCGGTCGCAGAACCATCTTGGCTCAAGCTCGTCGTGCAGCAAACCCCGCCGCCGCTCCGTCCTGATGCTGGCTGGGTTCGTCCACGGATGCCCGCTCGGCACATGCGCTGGAGACCTCTCGGGGGGCCCTCATGGCAGCCCATGGCGCAGCTGGGCTCGCCGCTGGTGGGCCGCGCGAGGCCGCGCAGTTCCTGCAGGCGGCGGAGGGTTCAGCCTTGGCGCTCCTCGCCGCGCCGCCCCGCCCCGACGCAACGGCGGACGCGGCGGGCCCCCCGACGGCCCCGCCGAGGCGCCGTCGCCCGCGCGGCCGCGGCGGCGTGGGGGGGCAGGGCAGGAACGACGAGGGGAAATGCAGGTCGATGTGGCGGAGAGCACCATCGTCGCGGAGGCGATGGTCCTGGCGGTTCCTGGGGCGGCGGCGGCGGCGGCGTGGGGGGGCCGATGACCGTATAGAATGGAGATGCCGCCCGACGAGTGGGCGAACGACCTGCCGATTGTGAAATGGGCCGGCGCGCTTTGCGGGCGGCCGTGGCTCGGGCAAGGGCGAGGTCAAGGGCGGCGCGGGCAAAGACGAGATCGGGGCGCGGGAGCTCCTCGTGCAGCGATCTGCCGACCTCTCGAGGCGCCAGGGCAAGCGCGATGCGGACTCCTCGGCCCTCGGCCCTCGGCGACGGCCAGCAGCACCCCACGGTCGGGCTCCAGGTGCGGGAGCTTGCTGGCTGTGCGTGGCGGTCGTGCTGCTGACGGTGACGGCGGAGGTGAGCGACGGCGCTCAAGCGGTGGCGGAGTGCGCCAAGGGGCGACTGCGCTTCCCTCCGTGGCAGTCGTCAGTGGTGCCCTTAGCAGTCAGGAGCTGGGAGTGGAGCTCAAAATCAAATTCTCATCGGTCGCTCCTGCTCCTCCTCCTACTCCTGCCCTTCACCAACTTGGTGGGAAAAAACGGGCCGAATGATCGAACCGCATCGCCGATGAATCGGCGACGTCGGCGCGGCGAAAATCGGGCTCCAGATCGACTTCGACGTTTTCGGACGTTTTCGTCGGCTTTCGGCGGCTATTCATCCTCCGTGTGCTCTCCAGCAGTTTCTCCTTGCTCAAGAGCGTCCAGGGCTGCCCCGATCGCCCCGAACGGCCGCCGGAGAGACGAGCTATGGCCTGGAAGCCATGAGGAGCGAACAGCATCTCCGAGACATCGGTGATGCGGCGCGATCCTCCGACCCCATCTCCTCTCACCCCACCTGGGAGGCCTGGGCCCCTCTGCTTTCGCTCAGGGTTCCTCTCGATCCTGCATGTTTGAAAGCACGTTCCGCCAACGGTTGCAGCCGCTGCGGACTTCCCCTGGCAGACGGGGGGGATACGTCCGAGACTCCGTAATTGTCTTGGGAGCCTGGCGGGCTTGGCGCCCCCGGAAATGCGCTCCAGCAGATCCTCTTGCGCCGACTTGGAAACAGAACGCGTTGGTGGACCGTCGAACTAGAGTGCGCCACGACCGCCAAAATGGCTGCTGGTGCACCGGCGTCGGAAACCTATATATCGCCAGAGAAATTCCGAAGTCGCGCCATCTGTCGCCCACGCACTCTGGGAGGCAGGGGTTCGGGACAGAGACGCAAACCAGGGCCGGCGCACGGGCGACGCTCGGGCGACGCACTGAACGAAACTTGAAGGGGGGGGGGTCGCTTGACTGGGCCTTAACAGAGCCCGCGCTGGCGACCTGCTCCTGCTCCTGCTCCTGTTCCTGCTCCTCCTCCTCCTCCTCCTCCTCCTCCTCCTCCTCCTCCTCCTCGTCCTCGTCCTCGTCCACGTCCTCGTCCTCGTCATCCTCTTCTTCTCTCCTCAGGTGCGCCCAAGGGCGGGGCCAGAAGGAGGGGGAGTGTAGCGCATCATGTCCCGAGGCATGTGCTCGAACGAAGGGGGGCTGGGGTGCGTATCGAATGGGAAGAGGGGGGGCTTTCTGAATCTGGGCGATTCCACTGCAGCGGCCATGCCATCCACACGCCAGTCCTCTCGCCCTCCAGACCTCAACCCTCCTCTCGACCCTCCGCCCTTCCCGTCCCCACTCCGCTCTCCTCCTCTCCTCCTCTGGCACTCCCGCGCCAGGCCTCTACGTGCGGAAGCCGCAGCGCAAACATCCAGTCCGCCTCCTCCACGGCGCCTGCGCCGCGCGCGCGCGCGCCCACGGGCTGCCGGAGAGAAGTCCTCGTGCGCTTTGGTGCCTCGGGAGGGGGCGTGGCAAGGCCCAGAGCGGCCCTTCGTGTGGGCAGCCGCGGAGGCTCCTGAGATACTCCTGGGCGACCAGTAGAGCGCGGCGGCGTGGTGATCCCGTTTCTGCTGGTGTTCCTGCATCTGCTTCTGACAGGAGGATACCGAACACGATCCCCCCCCGTCTGGAAATGGGAAAGCATACAAAAAGGCACATGCCCTGCGTTGGACGCCACGCCGTGGGGGGGTCAAAACTAAAAACCTCCTAGGGCTAACCCATGCTCCCTGAATCCATGTTTGCGCACCCCTCCTCCTCCGCCGCCTCCTCCTCCTCCTCCGCCCTGGGCCAGGGGGTGCGCCGCTGGCGTCGGTGTCCAGCAGCAGGAACGCCCGCGCTAGGGCGCCGCCGGGCGCCGCCGGGTCCAGGCGGCGGAGTACGCGCAGCGCCTCGCCGAGAGGTGGGGGGTGGGGGGCAGGCCTCGATGGCTAACCTGCTCCTCCTCGTCCTCCTCCTCGTCCTCGTCCTCGTCCTCCCCCTCATCCTTCTCCTCCTCCTCCTCCTCCTCCTGCTCCTCCTCCTCCTCCTCCTGCGCCTCCGCCTCCTCCTCCTCCTCCTCCTCCTCCTCCTCCTCCTCCTGCTCCTCCTCGTCCTCCTCCTCGTCCTCGTCCTCATTCTCGACCTCCTCCTCCTCCTCCTCCTCCTCCTCCTCCTCCTCCGCCTCCTCCTCCTCCTCCTCCTCCTCCTCCTCCGCCTCCTCCTCCTGGTACTCGACCACCTCCTAATCCTCTCCTCCTCCTCCTCCTCCTCCTCTTCTTCTTCTCTTCTTACTTCTCCTCCTCCTCCTCCTCCTCCTCCTCCTCCTCCTCCTCCTCCTCCTCCTCCTCCTCCTCCTCCTCCTCCCCTCCTCCTCCTCTCCTCCTCCTCCTCCTCCTCCTCCTCCTCCTCCTCCTCCTCCTCCTCCTCCGCCTCCTCCTCCTCCTCCTCCTCCTCCTCCTCCTCCTCCTCCTCCTCCTCCTCCTCCTCCTCCTCCTCCTCCTCCTCCTCTTCGGCTCCCCAAATCTCCGAGGATGGTAGGGCCTCAGGCTGCGCACAGACGGGACCCTCAAGCAGCCCCAGCTGGCCTCAACAGGCCCCCCGAGCAGTCCAACAACAGACCCCCCGAGCAGTCCGAGCTGGCCTCAACAGGCCCACGGAGTAGTCCCAGCTGGCCTCGACAGGCCCACCGAGTAGTCACAGCTGGCCTCAACAGGCTCATCGAGTAGTCCCAGCTGGCCTGAACAAGCCCCCCGAGTAGCCCGATGCGGTCTCAACACCCTGGCGCCGCGTCCAGCGGCGCACCTGGGGCGCTCCACGCCACAGGTTTGGGGTGACAAGGCCGCCCTGGACTACTCGGGGGGCCTGTTGAGGCCAGCCTGGACTCCGTGGGGGTGATGTGTTCGCACCCTGAGGACCTGATTTTGTCAATCCCGCCGATTTTCTTCGATTTCGGCGGCTCGTTGTCGGGCCCCAAGGCCATCACAAATGGACCCGGGACGCAACATCGCCTGGGAAGCTGTCGGGACCTCTAGGACCTCGCATTGAGAAACACACATCGGAGGATGTCTGGGCGTGGACTCTGGACGACTGTGCTGCAAAAGCCTGTTGGTCTCTGCCGTGGGGCCGTGGCCACAGCAGTCCGTGCTAAACTTGGATGAAAAGCTCTGGCGGAGATTGGGGCGATAGCCGATTCGGCACTCAGGCACAGCCCGGTCGCAGCAGCAGCGACGCAAACAATATCGAATACATCGTGGTCTTCATCGTCACGTCATTTCTCATCCAAGGGGGAGGGGCGCTCCCCTCCCGGTCCTGGGAACCGAACGCCGCAATCCTTCCACGTCGGGTGTTCTCGCCCAGTTTCGGGCCAGGGGCCCTCGCTGGTCGACGATGCCGAGAGTAGATGCAGTCCACGGCTCTGGTCGTGACCCCCTACAGTGTTGCCGTTTTCCGAGCCTCGGGGGCGGCCAAAAGTGGGGTGTCCAAGAGGGGGGGGTGCAAATCATGGCTGGCGGCATGTGCGCGGCACAGGGGGGGGCCAGGGAACGTACTGACAAAAAAAGAGGCGCCATGAAATCTAGAAAAATATCAGGGCCTCCGCCATGATATCCCCCCCCCCCTAGTCACCACCCCCCTCTTTGCCGCCCCCGGGAGCCATCGGACCTCCTGGGGGGGCCCGGGATCAAGACATCCCAAGGTCTAGGCGAGATCACAGCGGCGGCCTGCCGCAATTGATTTGCCTCCATGGGCCCTCGCTGGGCCCCGCCCGCGGATCCGTCAACAGAAGAAGAGCCCGGGATGGATGAGCATAACTGGCCCAGAGGAAAGGGTCCGGACATCGGGAGACCGCATAATCCCGTGGACCCAGATCACAGGAGTCATATACTTTTGTTCCAGGCGTGGCCCCCCAAAGGTCTGGACCTCTTCCCGGGCAGCCACTCTTCGTCCTGAGCACTTCGTGACAGTCCCTGGGCCAGGCAAGTGCTTTCCGAAACCCGAACGTCGTAGAACACCTTCCGTCGTGATCTCTTCATGACGCGAGGATGTCCGGGGAAAGGAGCGGGTGGCCACCCAAACGGGGTCCAAGCATCCCTCCCGCTCCTGCTAATTACTGTGCTAGCGCCCCAGCTCAAGCTCTGGATGACTACAGTTACGCATCCACCGCCTGGGGAGCCGATCTTCCAGGATCCCAGGGGGCGTTGGGCATGGATATACTGTTTAAAACTGTGGCCTCCAGGAACTGTGGCCTCCAGGATGGCCCCCCTGCTTTGAACGGTGGCCTCCAGGATGGCCCCAAGTGGGCTCCCAAGAGGACCTCATGGGGGTTCAGAGAAAACTCCCACCTCCCAGGCCCCCAGGAGGGCCCCGAAAGCTTACCAAGTGCCCCATGGAGGGCCCCAAGGCCCTTCAGAGGGGGTCCCAAGAGGGCGCCCGAATGCTCCCAAAGCCGCGCCAGCACGCACGAGAATGCCATGCCAACACCGGGCCGCATCGCATCGCTGGGACATCGGCATCGGATCAGCTCAGGCTGGCCGGGAGGAGGAGAGGAGGAGGAGGAGGAGGAGGAGGAGGAAGAAGGGGAGGAGGAGAAGGAGGAGGACTTGGAGGTGGAGGAGGAGGAAGAGGAGGAGGAGGAGGAGGAAAAGGAGGAGGAGGAGGACCAGTGTTGACCCAACAGTCATCAACGATGTTGGAACATACCCTCCCTCCAAGCTCCCTCTTCATAGGCCCCTACAACGGTTCATTTCCATTGATGGAACGGCCTCGTTGGAAGACTACTGTTCGAAGGTCCTGAAGCGTGCCAAAACATTGTTCTTGGGAGTTCAGCGCCACGTATCAACCGGACTGTTGCGTCTTGGCGATCCAGAACCGTGCCAGACTGCCATTCCTAGGGCTTCAACACAGCGAATCAACATAATTAACTGTTGCGCCCGCATCATCCTGAATCTGTTCAAAACAGCATGCCTGACACGTTGATGATGGGAATCCGTGAAACTCTTCCAAATGTTTAAACACGAATGCGCGCGGTGCTGATACGAGAGCCACATTTTCAACAAACAACGCCCTCAATCCGTGAAGCTCTTGCAAACGTTTACAACGAATGTGCGCGGCGCTAAAGCGGGAGCCATATTTTGAAAACGACCCGCCCCGAATCTGCCAAAAACTTGCAGCTTATTCGAGCGAATGCGCGCCGCGCTGAGGCGAGAACCACATTCTGAAAACGAGCCGCCCTCAACACGTGAAGCTTGCGCGCGGCGCTAATGCGAGAACCACATTTTGAAACCGACCCGCCCTCAATTCGTGAAGCTTTTGAAACTCTTCTGCGCGACTGTGCGCCGCGCTAATGCGAGAGCAACATTTTGAAAACGATCCGCCCTCCATCTGTCAAACTGTTGCCAATTTTCAATCGTCAGAATCATACATGGTGAGGAAGTCTCCGGCGAAACGCCCGGCCCGCCCTAAAAACTCGCAGGGGGTGCGGTAGGGAAAAGTTATGCGTAAGGAGAAAAGGGAGGAGGGGAAAGGGGATGATGATGAGGAGGAGGAGGAGGACCAGTGGAAACCAAAGAGTCACCAACGATGTTGAAATACACCCTCCCTCCAATCTCCCTCTTCACAAGCCTCTACAACGGTTCATTTCCATAGAGGGAACGGCCTCGTTGGATGACTACTGTTTTAAGATCCGGAAGCGTGCCAAAACATTGTTCTCGGGAGTTCAACGCCACGCATCAACGTGAGTGTTGCGTCTTGACGATCCCGAATCGTGCCAGAACGCCAGTTTGGGGACTTCGACACAACGAATCAACATTACTGTTGCGCCCTCATAATCGTGAATCTCTGCAAAACACCATTTCGGATACGCTGACCAGGGGAATCCGTCAAACTGTTGCAAATGTTTACAAGGAATGCGCGCGGCGCTAAGGCGACAACAACATTATGAAAACAACCCGCCCCGAGTCCGTGAAATTCTTCCACATTAAAGAACAATTGTGGGCGGCACTAAAGCGAGAACCACATTTTGAAAAAGGAGCCGCCCTCAATCCGTGAAATTCTTGCCTTGTGCTTAGACGAGTGTACTAAGGCGAGAGCCACATTTTGAAAAAAAACCCTTGTAAACGTTTACAACGAATGCGCGCGGCGCTAAGGCGAGATCAAAATTTTGAAAACGACCCGCCCTCAATCCGTGAAGCGCTTGCAAATGTTTTATACGAATGTGCGCGGCGCTGGGGCGGGAACCACATTTTGAAAACGACCCGCCCTCAATCCGTGAAGCTCTTGCAAATGATTGAAACAAATGAGCGCGGCACTAATGCGAGAGCCACATTTTGAAACCGACACGCCCTCAATCCGTGAAAGTCTTGCAAATGTTTGAAACAAATGTGCGTGGCGCTCACGCGAGAGCCACATTTTGAAAACGGCCCGCCATCCATCCACGAAGCGGCTGACAATTTTTTCACAGCTTCAGAATCCCAAATGGTGAAGAAGTCTCAGGCAAAACGCCCGGCCCGCCCGAACAACGTGCCCCGGGGTGCGACAGGGAGGAGTTACCCATAAGGAGAAGGAGTGGAGGAGGAGGAGGAGGACGACGACGACGACGACGAGGGGGAGGAGGTGGAGGAGGGGGAGGGGGGCGTGCGGGGGGGCTCGTCTTATCAAGGTACGTGCTGCCCTTACCTGGCGGGCGCCAACTCTTTCTGCTCTGCTCGTCGCCGTCTTTATTTCTATGTGTTCCCGCGGCGCCCGCCAAGTACATTGTGAGCCGAGTCGTTTGCATGATGTTTCTTTCAAGAGCGCTACAGGCTAGATCTTGCTGACGAAAAAAAGGCGGAGGAGGAAGAGGAGGAGAAGGAGGAGGGGGAGGAGGAGGAGTTGAGGTAGCTTGAACCAGAGAAGACGAGGGCAAGCGGACAAGAAGCGAGACGAGGCCAGATGATGGTCCCGCTCGCTCCCACCCACTGCTACGCCTAATACTCTGCTACGCTGTAATATGTGGCTGCGCTGGCCGCGGCATCCGGGCGCACTTTGATGCCAACACTCGGGAAAGCGGGAAAAAGCAGGGATAGGTGGCAGGAGCGAAGACGGGGAAGAGCGGGGTGGTGTGAGCCAGACGGTGGGCTCAGGGCTACATTGGCGGGTGGCCTCAGGGGCCTCATGCGCAGCGGCAGCCACGCTAGGCGGCGAAACGGCGCGTGCATCAGCATGCAGAGCTTCTTCGGGATGCGCAGGATGGGCTTCGTCAGCCAATCCGTCGCCACCAGCCGCAACATCGTGCAGGACGGGATCTTCAGGACGGAGACGTTCGCCACCAACGGCAGCGAGATGCGGGACCCGTTCAGCGGGAGGGGGTTGTGCGCCACCAGCGGCGGCATCAGGCAGGAAGTGATCGCCGGGATGAGCATGAGCGGCAGGGTCAGCTAATCGGTCCAAGCGTCGGCGCTCGTAGTCCTAGCAGATACCCAACCCGTGGTCGACAACTCCATGTGGTTGGACGTCGCGAGCTGCATGATGGGCTGCGGACGCCACTCCAGGCAGCGGAACAGCACGAGCATCGTCATGAGCCGCGACAGCACGGCGCACAAGTTCATCGACCAGACCAGCGAGAGCTAGACTGCAGCATCTGAGTTGGAGCAGATCGGAGCGACGATGGTGCGGCGCCCCAGGGACAGCCCAGGCATCGGAACCGCCATCGAGCACTCGCCGAGGGCCAGCAGGAGCAGCACTATCCACACCAGCGGCAGCGTTTTCGACGCCGCCGAGCATACGTACACTGGGAAGGGCAGTAGGATATACTTCGAGAGCAGGATGTGCACCGCACGCGGAAGCTTCGACGTGCACTTGTTCGCCTCCAGCGGCAGCACCATCGTGGTCAGAACAGGATGTACTTCGAGAGCAGACTGTTCGCCACACGCGGCAGCGTCGTCGTGCACTTGTTCGCCACCATCGGCAGCATCATCATGTTCAGCGCAAACTTCGTCTGGCGGGTCGCTCTCCGAGGACAAGGATGACTCGAACACGAACGAGGACGAACCACGCGTCGAAGCAGCGGATGGAGGGCCTGTTCTGGAGTAGCGTCTTACGCCGTGCGGCCCGTTGCCATTCGCGGACAAGGGAACGGAGAGCAGAGAGAGTATCGCCAGCAACACGAGTACGGGAGCCGCCAGCAGCAGCAGCGGCATGCAGGACATATGCATCACGAAGGCGGGCGCCAACAGCGGCAGCGACATGCAGAGAAGGGTCAGGAGCGCCTGTGACAAGCCGAGGAGGAGGCCCAGCGGCATGCTGCCGAGCGGGTTGTGGACGTGGGCATCGCCAGGTGCATCACCAGCGTCACGTGGACGGGAGCCGCTGACGGCAGCGGCATGCAGGACAGGATCAGGAGCGCCAACGACAAGCCGAGGAAGAGGCCCAGCGCCATGAAGCAGAGCGGGTTGTGGACGTGGGCCATCGCCATGGGCAGGAAGCGTCCAGCGCCGATTCGCGGGACCTCTGGCTCAGCGTCGCGACGAGGAAGGCGACCATGGGCGATGCAAGCACGAGCATGCTCATCATGTGCCGGTGCAGCATCGGCATCTGCAGGGCGGTGAGGCTGAACTTCAGGACCAGGGGCAACGTCAGGAGGTCGCGCACGTATCAACTGCAGGAAATTCGAGACCAGCAGCAGCTCGTTGCCCATGCAGATGCCCAGCGGAGTGATCACCCGCAAAGCGGATGGAAACGCAGCAGCGTGTGAAGAAGTACGTGTAGTTGAAGTGTCTGGCGCTTGTCAACTCGTGCTGGGCCGCGACCGCCTTGCAGCGCTCGGCAAGCACGGCGATGCAGAGCGTCAGCACTCCTGCGGTGCGGCATGACGAACAGCGTTAGCAGCAGAGGCAGCAGACGCCATCCCGTGGACATGTGGCTCCGCGGGCCTCAAACGGTGGCGGCGCGGCGCTGGGCCAGAGGGCCTTGGGCGAAACAGCTGTGGTGACCAGTTCGGCCAAGTCCGAGACCCCCGAAGACGGAACGGACTTGCGCCAAAATGGCTACGGAAGGAGCAGAGGAGGAGGACGAGGAGGAGGAGCAGGAGGAGGAGCAGGAGGATGAGGAGCAGGATCACCTTGGGCCCGACCGCGGGGGGGAGCCTGTGGGACGGGGGGGGCACTGGGCGGGGCAGGGGGGGGCTCGCCCTCGACCCCGCCGGCCCCGCTGCCCCGCTGCCGCTCCACGCGGGCGGGGGGGCGCCTCGTGGCGCCGGAGGCGGCCTGAACGCGCCGCAAGGGCGCGGAAGACCTCGGGGGGCCGGGGAGGAGTCAGACTGTGAACAGGAGGGAGGAAGGAGGAGGGGAGGGAGGAGGGAGGAGGGAGGAGGGAGGAGGGGAGGGAGGGAGGAGAGAGGAGGGGAGGGAGAGAGGAGGGAGGAGGGAGGAGGGAGGGAGGAGGGAGGGGAGGGAGGCGGAGGAGGCAGGAGGAGGGAGGCGGAGGAGGGAGCGGGGAGGAGGAGAAGGGAGGAGGAGGAGGAGTAGGAGAAGCTGTTCCACCACACCACGGCGATGCTTACTGATGCGATTGGAGGAATCTGACAATGTGTTCCCGCTTCTGCGGCTGGGGACGCCTGCCGACCAACCGAGACCATTCAGAGATCGCTTCTGCCCAGCCAGCGGGTGCGATCAGAAGCACCGCTGGCCGCGCATGTGACTAAAGGAAAACGATATCATCGGCAATCAATACTCGCTGTGCTCTTTGATGGGCTCTGGCATTGAACTGAAATATGGGGATTGCCTGAACCACCCGCGAACAACTCATGCGAAATGGGCGTGTATCCCCCCCTGCTGCCAAGCGCAGGCAACCGTGACTGACGAATCGAAGCAGTGACATTTGATCCTGCAGGAGGGTGAGACGAGCATATGGGGATGGGTGGATGGAGGAGAACGAGGGGTAGGCCGAACACGAGGAAGGGAGCAAGTGATTGAGCAGGGGGAGGAGAACGGGAGGAGCCCCAGAAGCAGAATGGGAGGATGGAGGGCGACAGTGAAAGAGGGGAGGGGGAAGACAAGGAGGGGGGCAATGGAGACGGGCGGAGGGAGGAGGGCTGAGAGCTGGGGGAGGGTACAGTCAGGACCAGTCCCACAGGACACCCGAGAGGACACAAGCTGCCTCCGAGAGTAGCACGTGCCCCAGACACTTTTTTCCAGACACGTCAAGACCCCCGCGGCAGAGGAGAAGGGGAGTGGAGGCGGGGAGAAACACCTGCAGCTAATAAACCACCCTGGTGGCCCCAGCCGCTCCGCCAGGCGCGCCGCTAGGAGCTGATAAGACCTTGAACTTCGCAGGATGCCCCCGGATCTCAAGCGAGTGCCTGGGAAAGCTGGGGAATCATACGTTTCAGCGGGGCACCTGCTGGAAGGACAAAAAACATGTCGCGTGACATTTTGGCATTGACCACCAAGATGCTCATTCCAATGCAAGCCGCGGGTGGGCCGGATGACGAACAGGGCATTTAAATTACCCTGGCGACGTACCCAACCCCTGCGCAATGCGGGGCATGAGTAGCTTGGGAGACGTTATACGGGAGTGATGACGTGACATGGGCTCATATATTTCTGCGAGCGGCATTCGTGAGGCTCGCAGCTCTTCAAGGATTGCGAGGTCCCGCTCAGATCTGCGTGGTGCCTCACTCCGCTGGACCCGCCACCAGCCTTTGAACGTAGCGACAGTTTCGCAGATCGCAGCCCCCCAGGCACGGCGAGGTCCCTCTCAGATCTGCGCGGTGCCTCACTCCGCTGGACCCACCAGCAGCCCTCGAAAGTGGCGACGGTTTCGCAGGTCGCAGCCCCCCAGGGACGGCGAGGTCCCGCTCATATTTGGGCGGTCTCACTCCGCTGGACGCCCTCGAAAGTGGTGACAGTTTCGCAGATCGCCACGCTGGCCCCCCAAGCAGCCCTCGAAAGCGGCGACAGTTTCGCAGATCGCAGCCCCCCAGGCACGGCGAGGTCTAGCTCAGATCTGCGCGGTGCCTCACCCCGCTGGACCCACCAGCAGCCCTCGAAAGTGGTGACAGATTCGCAGATCGCAGCCCCCCAGGCCCGGCGAGGTCTTGCTCAGATCTGCGCGGTGCCTCACTCCGCTGGACCCACCAGCAGCCCTCGAAAGTGGTGATAGTTTCGCAGATTGCTATGCTGGCCCCCCAAGCAGCCCTCGAAAGCGGCGACATATTCGCAGATCGCAGCCCCCCAGGCACGGCGAGGTCCCGCTCAGATCTGCGCGGTGCCGCACTCCGCTGGACCCACCAACAGCCCTCGAAAGTGGCGACAGTTTCGCAGATCGCAGCCCCCGAGGCACGGCGAGGTCTTGCTCAGATCTGCGCGGTGCCTCACCCCGCTGGACCCACCAGCAGCCCTCGACAGTGGCGACAGTTTCGCAGGGTGAGATGTGCGCGGTACCTCACTGCCTCACTCCGCTGGACACACCACCAGCAGCCCTCGACAGTGGCGACAGTTTCGCAGATCGCAGCCCCCCAGGCACGACGAGGTCCCGCTCAGATCTGCGCGGTGCCTCACCCCGCTGGACCCCCAAGCAGCCCTCGAAAGTGGCGACATATTCGCAGATCGCAGCCCCCCAGGCCCGCCGAGGTCTTGCTCAGATCTGCGCGGTGCCGCACTCCGCTGGACCCACCAGCAGCCCTCGAAAGTGGCGACAGTTTCGCAGATCGCAGCCCCCCAGGCACGGCGAGGTCCCTCTCAGATCTGCGCGGTGCCTCACTCCGCTGGACCCACCAGCAGCCCTCGACAGTGGCGACAGTTTCGCAGATCGCAGCCCCCCAGGCACGGCGAGGTCTTGCTCAGATCTGCGCGGTGCCTCACTCCGCTGGACCCACCAGCAGCCCTCGAAAATGGCGACAGATTCGCAGATCGCAGCCCCCCAGGGACGGCGAAGTCTTTCTCAGATCTGCGCGGTGCCTCACTCCACTGGACCCACCAGCAGCCCTCGAAAATGGCACAAATTCGCAGATCGCAGCCCTCCAGGCTCGGCGAGGTCTTGCTCAGATCTGCGCGGTGCCTCACTCCGCTGGACCCACCAGCAGCCCTCGAAAGTGGCGACAGTTTCGCAGATCGCAGCCCCCCAGCAACGGCGAAGAGAGGGCAGGAGGCGAGAGGAGGCGGGAGGCGGGAGGAGGAGGAGGAGGAGAAGGAGAGACGCGACCACACCCCTCTATTGAAAACGAATACCCAACCAAGGAGGGTTGGTAAAAACCGAAAAGGCGCATTTTGCCGCTGCTGGCAGGGGAGGGATCACCCCCCTCCCTCTGGGAAAATTGTTGGGTGGGGTCCAGAGTCTCCGCCCTCCCCCCCCCCCACCCACGACGACGCCGACGCCGACGCCGCCAGTACGACGACGACGACGCCGAAGCCGACTACGACGACGACGACGACGACGACGACGACGACGACGACGAAGACAGCGACGACAACGACGGCGTCGAAGACGACGACGAAGACGACGAGGACGACGACGATAACGACGACGAGCCGAGTAGAGTCGAATAGAGTATGTAGGGTTGGAGACGAAAGGGTCGAATATCCGCCGGCCCCCTTGTGGGGCCACCAGGCTGTAGGCGCGGGATTCGCAGTTTCCTGTACCAGTTGTAGCTTGTAGTTTCCAGTGTTACAGTTCTGCTTCTTGCTGGTTACTGTAACTAGTTGATTGACCGCGCGAGGGGGGGGGAGGCCCAAACAGGATATTTAGCACCTCCTGGGCGCGTTGTCTGAATTGCTGGGGGGGCTCGAAATCGACACCCCTCACGCAGATCCGCGGGGTCAGGGTCCAAAAACACATGGGATTTGCCACATTTCTGAAATTCGGTGCCACCCCTCACGCAGATCCGCGGGGTCAGGGTCCAAAAACACAGGGATTTGCCACATTTCTGAAATTCGGTGCCACCCCTCACGCAGATCCGCGGGGTCAGGGTCCAAAAACACATGGGATTTGCCACATTTCTGAAATTCGGTGCCACCCCTCACGCAGATCCGCGGGGTCAGGGTCCAAAAACACAGGGGATTTGCCACATTTCTGAAATTCGGTGCCACCCCTCACGCAGATCCGCGGGGTCAGGGTCCAAAAACACATGGGATTTGCCACATTTCTGAAATTCGGTGCCACCCCTCACGCAGATCCGCGGGGTCAGGGTCCAAAAACAAATGGGATTTGCCACATTTCTGAAATTCGGTGCCACCCCTCACGCAGATCCGCGGGGTCAGGGTCCAAAAACACAGGGATTTGCCACATTTCTGAAATTCGGTGCCACCCCTCACGCAGATCCGCGGGGTCAGGGTCCAAAAACACATGGGATTTGCCACATTTCTGAAATTCGGTGCCACCCCTCACGCAGATCCGCGGGGTCAGGGTCCAAAAACACATGGGATTTGCCACATTCCTGAAATTCGGCGCCACCCCTTACGCAGATCCGCGGGGTCAGGGTCCAAAAACACATGGGATTTGGGACATTTCTGAAATTCAGTGCCACCCTTCACGCACATCCATCGCAAGGCGTGGTAACCCAAACTGCGAGAACTCCCTCGGCCCTTTAATCGCAAGGTGTGGTAACCAAGCCCGTAAACCATACACGTCTTACCAATCGCCAGGTGTGGTAACCCCTCTTGTGATCAGTTGGTTTTGCTGATTGCGAATCGGCTTCGCATGAAGTGTTGATACTGCTTCACGACAGCGCCAAGGCCTCATGAATTAGCTCTTCCATGGCCCATTCTCCGAGAGAGGGGGCCGGCGGCAGGGGGCGAAGCCCTTACGGATAATAGGGAGACGTAAATCATACTAAGGTAAAGCTGATTGCATGGATCGGGTAGAACAAATTTAGCATAGTGGATGCGGGCACAGTTGAGTGTATTAGAGCAGAATAGCCTGCAGTCAGAGCGAAGTCAAGCAGCGCAGGGCTTGTTAGGATGTGGTGGAGTAGCGTTGGGTGGAACATAATAGGGCAGCGTAAAATACACTAAGTCAAGCATGAGGAATCGAAGAGAGTAAACTGAAAGCAGCGTGGAGCAAAGTAGAGTACGGTAGGTATGATCGGGTATAATCAAATAGGGTAGAGTAGTGCAACTAGACGACTGGAGAAGAGTATATGGGTAGAGCAGAATATGAATACAATCGAGTAGCGCAGAACAGCGTCGAGTAGGAGTAAAAGGGGAGCACAATATACTTGAGTATGTTAGGGTACGGTGGAATTGAATTGGGTAGAATAGGGCGGAATAGGATAGGGACACCAGATATCCAATAAA